GTTAGATGTATTAGTGATCATGGCTGATAGTATCTTTCACTACATTCAGTTACTTATTACCAAATCTACTAATCTTTGGTGTCTATTCCAGACCCTTTTATTTATGCTAAGGCCATGTCCCAATTTTATCCCTTCTGTTGTCCTTGGTTCATTTTCTTTGAAAGCTTTTTCTATTTGATGTACCTAATTATTTTATCACAGGCTCACCCCTTTCTTCCTTGAACCTCAGTTTTTGCTTTCTAAATCTTTCTTGGTATTCTCAAGCTCCTGTCCATTTGTCCCCTTCTTTTTTTTAGTCCTACATATATTACACAAAGGAATATTTTTTGTTAATTTTTCTGATAGTCCTTAGCTGTTTGTTATACCACTACAATATTAGCTCTTCCCTCAACTGTAGCTCCTGATTGCTATTCCAAAATTTCTCATCCCATTAAGCCTCTTGAAATTGTTGCAAGGTCTCAAATTCACTATAATTCAAGTCCCTTTATTTAAACTCTCCTTTAGATCCCAAATCCACTTAGGTATTTTCACTTTTTTTTTTTTGAGGTCTGTTGCTTCTTCCCTTTCAATGTTATTTCAGTATCCTTCACATTCAGGAGTAGGAGCAACAGGAACATGGTGGTTTGAACATCCCAAGGATATTAAAAAATCTCAAGAGCTATTGTAACTAGCCTGGAGGAGAAGGGGAAGGGGAAGCAAGGTGTTTCCTCCATAAATTGGGTCCCTGAAGAGAAAAGGTAAAAAGTGTAATTATTAATAGTTTCTGAGAGATGGCTCCCAAAGTACAGCGATGACAGCAATGCTGAGTAGAAATACCAGATTAGTTTTACAACCAGCCATTTTATCATATCATAAGCTGCTGTTACAAAGTACAGCACAATGTAATCTTGACCCAGTTCCCAGAAATTATAAACAGCACAACAGGGAACGTATACAGCATGTAAGGTGTTCCATAACACAACCCTGAGAACAAGCACAACAACTTTGAGAGCAAATAAATCAACATGGTGACCCGCAACTGCCAAACTAATAAAAAGAACGCTTATAACAAATTTGTTCTAACGTGTCGTGGTCAGATTTGTTGTTATCTCAACCTGTCGAGCCCCACATTGGACGCCAAAAAGGACTGTCGTGGTTTAACCTGGCAGGTAGCTAAAACAACCACACCGCCGTTCCGTCACACACACTTCCCACAGCAGGATGGGGGAGAGAATCAGAAAAAAAAAAAAAGGTAAAACTCGTGGGTTGAGATAAGGACAGTTTAATAGGACAGAAAAAAAAAATTATGATAATAATAATAAAAGAATATACAAAACAAGTGATGCACAGCACCATTGCTCACCACCCACTGACTGATGCCCAGTTAGCTCCCAAGCTGTGGCATCTCCCTGGCCAACTCCCCCAGTTTATATACTGAGCATGATGTCATACGGTATGGAATACCCCTTTGGCCAGCCTGGGCCAGCTGTCCTGGCTGTGCCCCCTCCCAGCTCCCCATGCACCCCCAGCCTGCTCACTGGCAGGGCAGTGTGAGAAGCTGGACTGACCTTGACTGCTCAGCAACAACTGAAAACATCAGAGTGTTCTTAACATTACTTTCGTCCCAAATCCAAATCACAGCACTACACCAGCTATCAAGAAAAAAATTGACTCTATCCCAGCCAAAACGGTGACACTGTCTCTCCATTGTCTTGCTCCTTGTTCTGTTTCTCCCAGTCCCCGCTGTTGTTGCTGCTGCTGGCCCATGCAGAATCCCCTCTCCACGCTTTGTCTTCCTGCCACCCGTGTATTGTCTGCGCCCAAACCCTGCTCTCTGCTTCCCCTTGCCTGACACCCTTTGCCTGGGTCTCCGTGTCATCTCAAACCTTACCATATCTTCCTCAGATCTCGGTCAAGGCTTCTAGAGAGCGCTGATGAAACAGAAGTGTGCTGGACTTAAGGACTGGTGCCAACACGGCATCTGCCATTGGCAGGAAAAGGCCGGGCAAAAAGAACCTGCTGCTCCTGCTCTTGCCTGAGGATGAAGGTGGTCAAGGCTGTGGATGGTGACTGCTTGCTGAAAGGAGCCCCCAGCCCTCATTTCTCCTCACGCACTTTCTCCTGCTCAAGCATTTTTTTGTCATCAGAGAAGCACTCTACTAAGCAGTCAGCAGGCAACGAGTGGCTGCTGTTTCCCTTTAAGTAACTTCTAGATTCAGATCTGCAAGATCTGCTGAAATTACTGTCTTCTGTTTCTGCACCTAGCTAATGAGATCTTTATAGAAAATTGTGAAGAACACGTAGTCATTACGTTCCTGAAAGAGGAATTTGTAGTTGTTTCCTATCTGCTTTCCTTTCAGCCCAGAGAGGAGAGAACCTGCCTGAAGTGGGGCAGTGCTGAGCAGCTGCTGCTCTTCCTTTGCAGAGCTGGGCTTCTGTAAGAGCCAGTCACCTCACAATACCTCATGGAAATCTTTTATTTATAAGATGTGTAGACAAAAAGCCCCAAACAGTTTTAACTGTAGGAAAATACAGGTGTATTTGATAACAAGAAGAACCTTTGCCACATGCTCTTAAGGACACTTGCAAGTCAAGGGGGGGTGTTTCCCCCCTACTCTCACTATCCTCTTGAGGAATGGGGACTTGTTTTATTGTAATCTGTGGTCACTGCAGTACAGACATCAGCTTTAGCTTCACTTTGGACTTGCCATTTCTAGGCTCCTCCCTTAAAGGAATCTTTTTTTAAAACTCCCTAAATTTCTTTGACACAAAGCCGTACCTTTTTGCTTTATTCCTAAACTAACTAAGATGCCATCTGGAAATGCTCTTAGTGTCATGCATGATTAACTTGCAGTTAAACACACTGATGTTAACATGAGATTTTTGCATGTATAAAGTTGTCAGAGTAAGAAACTTGAAAGTAAGAGCTGCATGTACAACAGCTGTCCTTGCTTACTAGAGTTCAGTCAGTTATTTACCTTGTTTTTTTCTACAGGATGTTTTTCCCATTCTGTGGTCAAGATGCCAGCGGTCACTGTATCTCACACTTTGTTTCTCTATTAAAATCCTTGTGTAGTTCTACTGCACTCTGAACTCTGTTTAAACCTTTGCATGAACAGAGAATTGCAAGTCTTTTCTGGAGCTTTCCATGGCTTCATGGCTGAGGCTGATCAGGACATCACAAGCACTCATTTTCTTTTCTCAAATTCACCTATTAATTTTGAACAAAAAAGACAAGAGTTCCTATAGATAATTTCTTCCTGCCTTATATAGTCCTGACTTATTCCTGTAGTATAGCCCAGTCTATGGCTTTAGTGAGGTAGATGACAAACACAAAAATAATGAAGTCATATAATTGACCATCCCCACCATCACACTTGATCCTTTATCATACATCATTTGCACAAAGGGAGAAGACCTGAGATTTTGCCAGCAGCATGCTATAACTCTGGCATATCCTAACTGTCAAGTACTTGCCATCACAAGTGTCTTGGAGTTTTATGAAATGGGGGAGGATTTGTGAAAACAAAAGGGAAAAATATCAAAATGTCATCTTTTGGCATTCCCCTGTCAACTGCGTGGATCATCAGCAAGGTAGATCCTGGAATTGCACCACACAGGTCTAATGTCACCGGTATTATCTTGAACTGAAGTTGCAGGAATCATTGCTTCTGGGCAAGGGCATCACCAGAATGACTTGGCAACTGGGAAATCATGACATATCATGAGGACTTCATAGTTCAGAAAGAGCTGGCCCTAGGTGTCAGAGCTGGGGGGTAAGTGTGCAAACAGCACATTTTGAAATCCGGAAGACCCTTGCCAGTGCCAGATACTTGTGTATCTGGACTCCATTTTACCTCGAGACCAGGCTGTATTGCACGGGTCCCTGATCCTTCTCCCCTCCTTTGAGGACTCTATCTCTCCTGTCATTCTTGCCATCTGGATCACTGCTTCCCCCACATCTTTATGTCCTCCCTCAATTTGGTCTTCCTCACAAACACTGCACAGACATGTTGTTATGTCCTGTTTCTCCAGGTCTGTGTGCTCTTCCCCTGGTCCTTGGCTTCAAGCAGGGAAAGTACAAAATGCCTGGAAGAGCATCTCCTGTGGAGCTGGGCAGCATTTCTTCCATCAGGGAACAGCAGTTCTACACGTGGCTGTATCCTGCCCTTGTTGAATTGACAGCAGCTTCCCAGGGGTGGCAAAAGGCACTGTATGATCCCCGTCTCCTTCCTGCCATATTTCCTAAATCATGGCACAGAGACATCTTGATAAAATAGCTATACTTTAAAAAGAAGAAAGGGGGAGAAGAATGCTCTGTTTTAAAAAATCTCATTCTCAAATACTGCTGACTAACTTTCACCAAAACTTGAAATATCAGGTAAACAGAAAAAAGAAGAAAAACAAAACAAAACAAACAAAAAACAAACAACTGTGGCAATGAAAGGAATTAAACTAAGCAGCATTCTTCCATACTATGAGCAAGAACCCTATTTTCAGGGCTTTGAACATAAAAGTTAACTTAAAAATATAACTATACTTAGGTGTCAACTTAACTATTGCATAGTTTAGAAGAGTGATACACAACTCAAACATCTGATGATATATGACAAAACTCTTCCCTTCTGATGCGGACCGTGACCAGTGTAGACAAACCATTGCCCATTTCCTGCCTTCACTGCATTCAGGAGCTGTAAGCACAGGTTGGTAGCCAGCTTCACTACAGACAGGACAGTGGCAACAACACAAATGAACTCGTGTATGTGCTTAGCACCTTCAATTTCAGTTGTCTGCTGACAGCTGCGTTTGGAATAAGTCTTTTAATGCCAGGCTTCTGCCTTTCTCTGGAATTGCTTTGAAAGGTGAGAGACCTGGTTTTCTTTTGTCCATGGAGCTTCCATTTTTTCATGGAAAGATAACAAAAAGAACCTGTGAAGAACTGCTGAGCAAGAACAAAAAGAATGGTAGCTATTTAATACGAGAGAGTGAAAGTGTGGAAGGAGCCTTGTGTCTCTGTGTTTTGTAAGTACTCTAATACTAATTTTTTTATGAATTTTCAGATAGTTCTAAAGACAAGTGTTCATCTTCTCTAGCATGAATAGTTCTTTCCTAATATTAACAGACTCCAAGGAGTGCATATATGTATTTAAGTAATGCTGGTTGCCTTAGGCTTCCCTTATCGTGAGTGGTGAAAATGCCATGCTTTATAGAGTGTGGCATTTTCAAAAGACATTTTATAAAACAGAGGATAGATGAACTCCAATCTGCTGATGCTGGTCTCTCTCTGCAGACTACAAGGGGAGCCCAGAGAAAATAGCTTAGCCTGCCAAAACATGGTAAGAACCTTACTCAAAGTTATTGCCTCTGTAATGATGACTAAATAGCATTTTAACTATCGAAAAGTCTGAAAACTGAAAAGTCTCACTGTATGTTAGAAAACAGTTCCTTCCCTGTAGGCTTTCTATCTGATGAAAGCTTAGGCTTGTGTTTCAAAGGGATTTTATCTGATGTAAGAACATAAACTGAGACAGAAAGCTATAATGTCCTGTTCAAAGTCACATGACAAGTCCATGAACAAGATGGGCATAGAAAATTGCTACTTCTAGTCCTTAACTTGAATTTCTACAATTAAATTTTTATTATTTTCTTTTCCTGTAGGGAATAGCACTTTTATTTCCCTTTCAAGAAGCCTGTTTTACACTTTTCATATATAATTGATCTGTTCCTAATGCGTTCAAAGTTTATAAGTTAGTAACTCTGAGTCTTTCTTTGTTTGACCCTATGAGGTTTTATACTGTCCTTGAGGATGTGTTTGTGACATGAAAAATTCTTAACACCACATTAGTTAATTAAAAAATCATAAAATGTTTTTATCAACAACCAAAAATGCATTTCTTTTGAAAGAAATCAAAGGAGAAGGGAGAAAAATGGAGAAGGAAATGGAGTACTATGGGGTTAGTGGGTAGAAGAAAGGAGAAATTACAGAGTAAGAATGATGGTATTAGTCCCTGACATGGGAAGATGGCTGTTGAGATCTCATGTAGCAGAGGTAGATGAGAAAGTGAAAGACTACTTAGGTGTGTGCGATGAGTTGGAACTACTGATGGCACGTCAGTGAGCAAAGGACTCTTCTACAGGGTACATTGTGGGTAAATGCAAGCTGACATAAAGGTTAAGCTTTACTTAACAGGGGTATTTTCCCTTTCTTTTATTTATTTTTGGTTTTTTTAAAGGGCAAAGCAGATCTACCTTGTGATAGCTTGCAGACATGCTTTTGTCTGTTGACAGTGTTCTAGGCAGGCATATGAAAAAGCATGTGACTTCCAGCTAGCCTCTGTGGGTTTTTCGTGTTAAAAACTTCAGTGTTTACTGTATTTGACTTTTAAGTCGTGCATCAACAAATGTAATAGTTAAACTGTAGGGGTGGCAGCAATGGTATAACAGATACTGGCTTGCAGAGGTGAAAGCAAGGGTTGTCTTCAGATAGCAAATGGGATGGTAATAGTGTATTGGCTCAGAACTGCCTCAGAGACTGGACTGTCTGTCAGTGGTTGACTAGGCAGAGGAAAGCTGTCCTAAAACTGAAGGCAGTCAACACTGAAATTCTTAGTGCTGTTTAAAGACAACTTTTGGATTAGAATTGCATCTGAAAACATTGCTTAGTACCTAACATGGTTGATGCACAAACTGATGCACACCTCTCAAATTATCTGATCCATGGGCAGAGATACTGATCCACTTGCTACAGAAAACAATGAACTTTTTTGTCCTCTGCTAATGGGGTATGAGGGGGGAGTAGTTAATGTGGAAACAGAAGTTTACATTTTAATGGTAGTTTCATGTTTATTTAGTAAAAATTGGAGTAGTCAGATAATATCTATCCAGGCAGTGAACTTTCAAAATTTAGGTGATCAGTAAAGAACAAGTTTCAAAAATTATTGGTTTCTGGTATTTTTTCTTTCACGTTTCTATGTCTCTGCTTACTCTTAAGCCAGGAACATGTGAATTTCCACAGGTATCTCAAGGAGTAAAAAAAACAAAAGATGCATCCCTGTGATGCAACTGTTCGAACTGAAGAAAATCTATTCTAACTGGAAGTCTTATCCTCACCTCAGGCCATCGTAACTTTTTTTGCAGAACAAAGTAGTTTATTTCCAGAGTATCTATTCACTTATGCACAAGTCCCTCGAGCTAGTTTTTCACCCTAAGATTCTCCTTCTCATGACAGTTCGATTCATGTAGCTACAGCTGAAATCCTGCTGATGAACATGCATACAAGTTAAAAGAACTTGTTTTCAGATACTGCTTCCCCTCCACTTATTTGTGATGTGTATTTCTTTGCAACCTTACTGCCTTTTTTGATCATGGTCATGATCTCCAGTTCATCTTCTGAATAGCTGCCACTGAGGTATTTGACAAAGCTTTTATTTCTGTTGACAGAATATATCCAAAGCCATCTGTAGCCTGAGTGTTCAAACACCTGCATATTATTAAAAATAATAGTAACTAAAGCCCTGGGAAATGCAAAGGAAGAATAGTTTTCTTAGAAGTAGGACCGGTGCAGTCATTTTCTAGGTGCTGCTGACTGGAGGCCATTTTCTGCTAACATCTCTCCAAGAATCCAATAGCCTTCTTGTGATACAACTGCAAAATGAAGTTTAGGAAGGTATCACAGATAGATGTGAGGAAGATAAGAAGATAGATGATAACATGGGATGTCTGTGGAACCAAATTACTCTTATATAAAGGCATGTGTTAGGTTTAGTTCATAAGCTCTTTGAAACCTCCTGGTTAGAGTAATCTTTTATTTCAAGATCTGAAACATTGTCTCATCTTGCGAACTCTAGGCTCCCTTCTGTTTTGCTTTTCTATCCCTGCCTCATTGAGCTTTACTGCAGAACTTCTCATGTCTGTGATACTAGCTGCTGTTCGCAGACATTTCCAGTCTCGTGCTATGTTAAAAATGTGGTGCCTCTTCCTTCCACCAGTGTCTGCTTTTGGAAGCAGGGGTCAGAGACTCAGTCCGCTGTTAAGTCCCTAATATCATACATGCTCTTGAATATATGTCCAGCATAGTATCTCCAGCTATGCTCTGGTCAAAGCAATCATATTCTAGGTTGAAGTGGTACGTGATCACATCTGGAATACATGAAGATACAGACAGCTCAAGGGGTCACTGTGTGGAGTGAGCTGGAGCACTGGAGCAGCGTCAAGAGAATAACTGTGAATTTGTAGTGCCACAATTTCTTGAGGGCTCCCAAGAGGAAAGCAGATTACATGAAAAACATTCTGCAACTTCACACTTCTGTATATGCTGTGGCAACCTCCTCACCTGTTCTCTTCTTCAGAAGAATGCCAGATGATCTCATGCGAAAGGTGAACTGCAAGTTTTCTACAGAATCATTCTTTACCACGACTTAGATTAATACAGTCTTCTTTCTCTCCCCCTCACATCCTTCCCAACTGCTATCAATATGATAGAAGACATTTGCAAAGGCCATCTGTCAGAGCATCACTCCATGCCAATGTGCTTCTTTCCATACAGCATTGCTGTCTTGTGTCATATCCCATGTGAATCTCTCATCCTTGCTCTCGGCTGTAGATCAGTCTTTTGAAAGGTGACAGCTTCTCTTGTGGACATGGTAATTAGTTAGAAGCCAGCTCATTTTCCCCTAGAGTATGACTTCAGAGAAAAAAGGGAACCTCATTTTTGTCTTTGTAGCTATTTAGGTCTTCCTTATAGCTCCATTTTTGAAGGAGGGGTTCATATTAGCACTGTCTTTCTATTGTGGAAATGTTGTCTGAAGATTAGCCCAACCCAGTTGTCTTAGGGAATCCCATCCTCGTTGCCAATTATGTCCTAGGGTGGTTTTGAGGATTTCCGAGAAGGGTAGACACATATACACAGGCTACAAGGGGCAAAGCAACAAGCGTTTATTACCTACAAGCATGCGTTACACTAAGAGTATCTTGCAAAGGAGTTGTCTTACCGACCTGAGGACTGTGAGGAAGATGGCCCATCCATACATTCTTGTGTCGTCCTGCACCGCGCGCTCAGCCCAGCAGTCAGTAGGTGCCAGCTTTACGTGGGCGTCCCCACAGAGGCAATGGTGGCCTCGCCATACACCGATCCCCTGCTTTTCGGGAAATCCCGGTATTTATACAATTGTGGAGGAGTGGGTTTTGACACACGTGACCAGCGAGTGCCGAAACACACCTCTCTTGCTGACTCAGCATAGGGAGTCTATGGCATATGCGCGCGCTGGTCAGGCGCGCTGCGCACACCATAGCCATCCCATCTATTGGTTCGTAGGCTCTGTACACACGACATATTGTCAATCATGCTTAAGCCAATAGCAAGATGTTGCAAGGATTCCTACCTCCACGTCCTTCCCTAGTATTGTTCAACTTTCTTATCTCTGTGGGGAACCATCTGGTTTCTCTCACCCGGCCTGTTATCTACTTCTCACCCAGCTATCTGTTCTCACTGTGCTAACTGCGGTGTTCTCACGGGCCGAAAGTCCATCTTTTAACCCCCCTGCTGCAGTTTCCTCACTGTCTACTTCTCACTCAGTGTCCAACTACGGACCGAAATTCCATCTTTTAACCCCTCCGTATACACTGGTGTAAAGTCTGATTGTCAACCAGACCACGGCTCCCCTTCTCCTCACTGCTGATGGAGATGATACTGCAGTTCTCGATGACATGCATGCCAGCCCTTTGCTTGCAGTTTATTCCCACATTGACATTTGCACAAGGTGGTTTCTAGTGCTGTGACACAATTCTGCTGGAGGTGAGCAAGGATGTAGGCACCCTGTGGAAGCCAGGACTCTTCTCTTACATGGCACCTGCAGTGGAATTCCAGGGACTGTTTTGTGTTTTACTTCCTCAGAACAGGTAATACAAATTCTCAGTGACATCCAGCCCTTTCTGGGTGTATAAACTTGAAGCATTTTCACTGCTTTTACGTACCAAATCTATTTTACTGGAGCTGTAGCAGCACAAAACTTGGCAGAGGAAATGCACCTAAGAAGCTGGAGGAAAGCTCAGGCAGTTCGCTGATGTGGAGGTGATCTAGCTGGATGTGCTTTGTGAAGGTCTACGCTGAGCAAAGTGCAGTGACTGCAGATTGAACACAGTACTCAGCAGCATTTGCCGTACGTGGTCTATCTCTGCAGGGCAAAAAATCGTGTCATGAATTTGATCCAAATCAAACAGAACTGCATTAGTGATGTACAGGGGGTTAGATTGAATTGGCAAGGCGTGATAAAGTAATATTTGGGTTTCTGAGGCTTACAAAAACAACATGCATGACTAATTTTGGCTAACGGACAATTAAACATACGACTTAAAGTATTTCAGGTATTTTGAAAGCTCTGATATATGAATCAAATGGAAAAGTGAATGTGCATATGTAGCATTAGGCATTCCTTTATATTTGTTTGTTTTTAGTCTTTCATTATATTGCAGTTTACTTTAAGATACAAGCAAGCAAACAAAAACAAAAGCTGGCTGTCAAGATCAGCTGTAGCAGTCTAAGCAAGTTGCAGTGGTCTGACAGTTGATAAAAAGCATAATGTATACAACAATGTTTTTCACAGCTTTGAAGAACTCATCTACACTTACCGTATCTTCAGAGAACACCAAGGAAATTTTAGAATACAGGTGGGTAACTCTCATTTCATCAGTAAAGATTGCACTAAACATCATTGTGTTGGTTAAAAAAAGTTCATATACATGAACACATTACCTTAGAAAATATTACCAAGTTTGCTTTCTTCTCTACTCAATTCTTGACATTTAATCTTTATTATTAAGATTATAATAAAGATTATAATCTTTATTATAAATAAGATAATAATATTTATTATTACATATGAGCTCAGAAGTAGCTATTTTCTTTGTAGAATTCCCTTATAACCTAAGTGGATCTGTTATTTGTTGACCAGCTGCTTTCTGATTTGAGCATTTCTTTTTTATAGCATTGAAGAAAAATCTATCACTTTCGTTACTTGTTCCTGTTCCTAATTAGATTTTCCTGTTTGAAAGCTCTGCCGTTGCACCCAGCATCTTGTAGGGATTTGGAATGTTGCAACTATCTTTTTGATTTAAAGAAACCTATCTATAATTCTGTGCATTTCTGAGGCACCTGAAATAATGACCCCAGATAATGCTGCTCATTGCTTGAATATGCATAAGAGCAGACTGCATCAATCAAATCCCTAGGCAAGATGAGAGGACACTTAAAAAGCTGGCTCACTCCCCTGCTTGCAGTAGGACAGCCAACAGGACTGCCAACAATTAAGTAGCATTTAAGTGGAATGAGGAACTTGCTCCATAAAGGACACACCAAGCTCTCATATGCTGGTAATTTCTTGCTTACTGATGGTTTGGACTGAATACAAGGGACATAATTTCCCATGAAGAAGAACGGTTCGTTGACAAAAAATTATACATTTTGGACTATAGCCACTGTCCTGGGGTTTGGTGTCATGCCTATCAGCAGATAATAACACAAACACTTTTAGTTTTTTCAAACCAAATTTTCCTTACAAGGTTTTGCCAAGAATGTAAAACGAGTGCTGTTCTTCAAATTTTTAAGTCAAATTGGTTTGGCTTGCTAAAATAATAGACTGGAATAATATATTGATGGTGGAGGTGAGATTGTTTGGGTTTTTTAAGGGCCAAATTCAGCCATGAACTTTCTAGAGTGTGGTAGGTTGCCCCCGATGAGCAGCTAAGCACCCACACAGCTGCTTGCTCCCTCCCCACCTTAGCAGGACAGGGTGGGGGGAAGAGAACATGAAGAGTAAAAGTGAGAAAACTCCTGAATCAAGATGAAAGACAGTTTAATAGGTGAAGCGAAGTTGTGCACGCAAGCAAAGCAAAGAAGGAGTTTAGTCACTACTTTCCATCAGGAGGCAGATGTTTAGCCACCTCCTGGAAAGCAGAGCCTCAGCACGCGTCATGGTTGCTTGGGAAGATAAGTGCCATAACCACGAACGTCCCCACTTTCCCTCAGCTTTTATTGCTGAGCACAGTGTCTTATGGGATGGGATGGGGTTGCCCTTTGGTCAATTCAGGTCCACTGTCCTGCTGTGTCCCCTTCCAGCGTCTTGTGCACCCCCAGCCTACTAGCTAGGGGAGCAGAGCGTGAAAAAGAGACAACCTCAAGGCTGTGCAAGCACCATTTGGCAACAGCCAAAACAGGAGTGTGTTACCAACGCTGTTTTAGTCACAAATTCAAAACACAGCCCTATGCAGGCTGCTGTGAAGAAAGTTAACTCCATCCCAGAAAACCCAGTACACAGAGGCAGTGGCACCCAGTCCACACAGGGGTGAGGGAAGATAAAGGATGCAGAAAACTGAAGAAAATAAAGATGTGTTTCTTTTTCAGATAGCAAATGAAGCTAATCCAAAGCCCCGTTCACTTTTAATGACTAATAGTAGGATCCTCACTGTGATTACAGCTGATTAATTGCTTACTGTCTGTCACTGTCCTGAAGTCACCAGCACTGCAAAGTCTCTGTACAGATCACTGGCGGGCTGTCCCGTCGAAGCAGTTCAGTCCAGCTGTATGAACCCACACGTTAAAAAGCAGTTTGTGAGAACGCCGTTGCCCCACTTAGGAGTGCCATCCTCCGTGTACGGCCTCAGGAGTCTGCAGTGCGAGTCACAAAGCCGGACAAATAATAAACTCCCGCCTGAAAGTGAAAGCTGGTGCTGGTGACCTTCATACAGATCCTCAGACACATCCACTGCCTCTGCACATGTCCTTTGCTTGACAGTGCTGATATTTTGTAAAACATTCTGCTTCTCACATAATTGCTTAAATACAACATTTTAAGTGAGAACTAAATATCTTGCCCCTAAACTTGTCCTGCAAGACCAGAGGGAATTCAGTAATGCTGTCAGTCTTTGACTATCTGCTGTAGTGGATTGCTGCAGCACACAACTGAGTCAATATCTTGAACTGATTCCAGCTTTTAAAAAAAAAAAAAAAAGTGGTGAGGGAGGTTACACTTAGTACCGAACAGGTGTCCCTAGTGTTTTAAAGGTGGTACAATATTTTGTTACCAAATCTGTTTACAAAACAACTTTCCAAACAAGAAACAACCTACTGTTCCTTTCATTTAGGGGACTCTATGTGAAGGACAGTTGCAAACAAACTTTCCTTTCCTTGCAGACTTCTGAAGGTGTTCCAGAGAGGCTCTTTAGAACATTAAAGGACCTAATACACACTTATGAAAAGCCAAATCAAGGACTAATTACAAACCTCCGCTACCCAGTAAAGAAACAAAAGGCCTCGCAGAGAAGCCAGAGGTTCAATTCAGGAAAGGATGACGTTTATGATGGTAAGAAATTTAGCTCTGCCTTTGTGGTTCTTCTTTTTAAGATGACTGAACTGACAGGTTTGTGGTGAATAGTTGCTACGTGTCTTCTGAGATCAGCTCACATAGACAGAAGTTCAACATCCTTCTTTTTCATGTTCATTGGAAAATGGTTATTCCCAGCTCACAAGTTACATACCCTCATCCACCACAACTAAAAAAATTAAAATTGCAAGCGATACAGAAGGCAAAGCATGATGTTGCCCACGTCTCACTCCTCCATGGGTGTTGATGCTCCTAGGCTAGGGAAGGCTGAGGACCAGTTTTACCCAGTGTGGTTCTGCCAAGCTGCCAAGCCCCTGCGCTTCCCTGGGAGTCGATGCTGTCTTTTACCTGCACTGTCCAGGTTGAAAGCTATTTTTGTACCAAAATCTAGTTCAAGCTATTTTTGAGATGCTGAGGGGAAAAACAAACAAACAAAAAACCAAAACAGCCAGCTTGTGTGTTTTTGTGATTTGTATTAAAACATTACTAATTTTTCAAGTTAGTATGTTGCAAATAAGAAGCATAGAGCCTTGTGCTGAGGATCACAGCTTTAGAACCAGAGTTCAATCTGTGGTTGACCGTCTGCTAATTTATGCTCGGAAGTCCCAGGTATAAGATAAAGATACAACTTTTCTACCTGACAGAAATACTATGCAAATGGATACAGTAAAGATGGAGGTTTTCACGAACTGATAGACCATGTTTTATAGTCCCATGTCATATTTATGTCCTTGGTTTGGGGAGGATGAATAGAGATATTACTGGTAACTTGCCAGCAATCCCTCACACAATTTTGAAAGCCACTTACCATATTCTGTTGTACAACTGTCAGCTGCAGCATCCATCAGGTCACAGGCTGCAAAATAACCTTGAAACCTTTCTAGGTCCTCTTACGAGAGGACTAAGTGTAACGAGTGAGGGAAACCCTTTCATTAAGTACAGTTATCGTACAGGAAAAACTTCTTGGAGTATCCAACCTTTTGCATGACTTCTATCTCACGAATAACGCCAGCTGGTTGTGTGGGCCAGCCTCTCTGCTCTCTGCCACAGTCATACCTCCTGCCAGTACTGGTGTTTTTTGCAAACAACAGTACGACAGCTCCCTGTGTCAAGCAGACAGGACAGGAAGGGGTGAGCTCTCCCCACTGCTTCATGCGCTAAGCTGCATTTTTAGGGGCCAGTGCAGCAGCAACAACCTCGCCGAGAGAAACAGTAGCAGAGCGGCATTTCGAGTGTCTCCACCAGTGCATTCTCCCTTGTGTCACTAAGGCAGACACGCCACATTTACTGCAAAAAGGTTTTTAGGGTATCTTGTCATTGCTGGTCCAGGGAGATGGAAAATACTACAGTAGCATGGATAAATTTTTAGGAAAAATCAGTTGTAATACATATTTTATTGTCTGGTCATACAACATGAACTTTTCTAGAAGATGCACAATGTCCTGGTCTGGACTCGCAGGGAGGAAAACAAATCCTTTAGCTTTACTATCATAAAAATGGAGGTTTTTCAAAATAATGAAATTACTTTGGAATCATTGCTGGACAATTCTAATTTAAATTTTACTTGTACAGCATTCCAAACTTCCCCCTCAGACTGCTTTATTACGTGCGCACAGAGGGAGCTTAGGTTAATGTCATGATGGATATCTCTCTGAAATGCAGGCACCATGTAAAACACCACAGTGCTTCCTAAAGCAAGCACCATACTTTTCTGGCCCGGTCCCTCAAGCCACACCAGCAACTGGCTTTGCAGCATGCGCAGGACTGAGCACTCCAGTGTGACCAGTGGAACACCTCAAGGGACTGGGGTCACCATGCTGGTTGCTGGACATTTTTGGACATTGTTTTCTAGCCTAGGAACAGCTTGTTTGAGGGTGGCTGCTTGAAGAGGCAGTAGGTTTCCATAGTTGAGATCAAGTCCTCAGCATGCAATTTCTGCCTTTCCCCTGGCTTCTCAAAAAAAACCATAATAAATCTGACAAGGTCTAGAAGAGAAAGGGTTTTTTCAGGCTCTCCTCCCTTAGTTGGGCGGAGAGCTTTTCTGTTGGGTATTTCTTTAGAGAAGAAAGGGTTTGTTATGCTATAGTCATAGCTATCTATCTCAGCTATTGATCTGATTTACTAAGTAAGGATGATTTCCGACGTTTGACTGTTCCTCAGGAAGCAGTCTCACATGGATACAAATCTTTAGTAACAGAGCTTCCTGGCTCAGAAAAGGCAATGCAGGCTTTGCCTCCACACAGACTCCGGGAGGACCCATCCATAGGACACAGGGCCTAAACATTGGCCCTGCAATTGAAACCAAACTGAGTTATTGATACCTGCCCAACAACACGGCCACCGGCCATCCATGCTAACCATGGGCTTTCAGAGGAGCCATGTGCAATGACAACATCTTTTTTATTATTATTATTTTATTGATTTCTTTACAGAAATTGATGACAGCAATTATGTCACTGTCTTACCCTGAATGATCTGCAGCCTGATGATTTGGGAAGCTGCCATTTCAGGCTGTGCCACAGCACAAGGGATCCGCTGGGGAGAGCTGCGAGCTGGGCATTCTCCGCTGTGGATCTTTGCCTCTGGAATTGGTCTCCTCCTTTTGCAGACTGTCAGAGCAGCTGTATTTTCTCCCAGTAGATCCAGTACTTACTATATGTTTCTGTTCAGCAATATAAGAATTAATTTTTATAACAGACACATGCATACATATACATACATATGGGGGGGAAGAGTATCTGTGTACATGTATGTGTATTTCGGTTTTTCAGTCAGCAAACTGTCTAAGATGTCTACTGCTAAAATAAATCTGTTAGAAAGCAGCAATATAACTAAAATAAATGAATGTGCATAAAGCAGTAGTTTATGGCAGAACTGGTATGTGTTGATAAAAACCGTACATGACAAAAATTCTATTGGCATCATATGATGCTTAAAAACCACTCGATCTTGTTATTTTGTGCATGATGCATGTTACTTCATTGTTGGATAAGTGGATAGTATTTCAGCTAGGAATACTCTTACTATCCTGCAGTTTGGAATAATGTAAATTTAAACAAAAAGACTGTGTTAAATCCATGCCATAAAGAATTAATCAACAACATGAAAATGTTTTGAAATACTTTTAATATTGATGAATGATTCTGGTAGATTACAAGAGGAGTGCAAGTTCTACATGTAGGATGGTTATGAACACATCCTAGTTTTTTTCAATAGGTACTGTACATTTGAGAATGCTTACTATATTTCATTTGCTACTGCCGTTAGCTCTGTATTAAAAGGTGTATGGGTTTTGGTTTTGGTTTGTTTTCTTTTTAATGTAAGAATTTGCTTTAATCTTACCCGTAATTTTAAATATTTAATATTTACTTTTGTTCTGAAGGTGGCCTGCAACTAGCAGCCAAAGCCAGAGATGCAACATATGCCCTGATTCTCCTAGTCACTAGTACCAACTGCCTATCTGTTTGTGATCTTGAGGAAGACACAACGGTTGTGTATTTCTTAAAAATCTTTCACAAGTTATTCATGTCTTTTATACTATGATGTTTCTTTTACACCACTGCTTGTTAAAGGACTTGTAGATCTTTCAGTGCTTTGGACTTCATCATGAGTTTAACAGTACTAACAGTTTTTGGTGCCAGGCACAACCGGTACTTCTAGGATGAAGGAGACAAGAAACAAGTATATCAATTAACTCTGGTATTGCCAAAAATACTAACGTATGTGTCCAAATATCCTGAATTGAAAAGAAAGTAGTTGATCAGGAAAAAAGGTATTATTAGAGAGAAAAAAAAATCAACCCTTCTGCTGTTGAACATACGTGTCTCCTAATTGGCAGAATTCAGTAGTCCGCCTGAGAGTGGGTTGCCACACGTACTTGATCGAGCTTCTGCTGCGCTGAGTCACTTTACCAGAGAGAGCGCTGCAGTTTCTCTGACATGAGAGTAGCAGCAGTCCCGACGTGCTCAGTCACTGACACTGATGTTCAACCTTAGGGAAAAGACCGAGGGAGAAGGAATCCCAGGCCATGCCTCAGGACCCTGACCACATGATGCCTGACATCGAGTGTAAGAGCGCATTCGGGGTGCCCCAGGTGGCAGG